GCATGTCGCCAATCCTTGCATACCGCAAATGAGGAAGAGCCTTCCGCTCTTCCTGAAGATATAGTGGCCTACCGGCCTCCTGGGCGGTGACTTTCCAGGCCAAGCGGCTTCCCAGGCAACCGGTACCTCCTCCCTTTTGGAGGGAAACATCATTGCAGGCTCTGTTATTGTCCGCACAGGCCCTAGACCCGGGCTACTTGGACTGGTACCGGCCTACCCCCAACCTACCGCTACTGGACCTCTAAAAATGCCAACTTTTTGTCTTCTTCTGCTCGGCCTACCTGCTACTTGAGTGTTTCCCCCAGCTGCTCTAAGTGCCGTGGGCCTACCTCCCGCTACCGGCGTGTTTTACCCCCCTGCAACCCTCCAGTGTCACAGCCACAGGTAAGTACCAGCCCGGTGGGCCTTGCAACCAACAAGTACCCTTTCGGGTCAAACACACACATACCCCACCGGCAAGCACTCAGACAGGCATGCACGCACACACACACAACCAGCAAGCACTCAGACAGGTATGCAACCAGCAGGCACGCACACACACAGACTTGGAATCACAGCAGAATGCGGGAATCACAACAAGGCATCCATTCCAGTGACAAATCCCAGAAATCGGCAGTGTTCTCAGTCTGTGTTTTTGGCGGGTCATTACATTAATCCCCTCTCGAGAGCGAGGTCCCTTCGAGCGAGTAACTCAGTCAGAGTCGGTACAAAAGGCGTCGTAGGCATAGATCAAAAGGAGAGTGTTAGTGAGACCGAACGGAGTGAGTTTTGCAGCAAACTTGGCGATCTGTCCATCAACAATCTGTCGTTCATATGCGTTCACAACACGTGGCGCACTCTTCAGCAGCTCTTTCCGGTCGATCCAGAAAAATTCATTCAACGGGTGATAGAGGAAGTGAACTTTATATTGTCTGTTCCTCGCTCTCCCTTCGTGAGAAACGATTCTGTCGATCTCATGGCCACCATCAATAGGGCGAGGTATCATAGGGTCTCGGAAGGGAAAAGTCTCATCATCAATGTGCGGAAACAGTTTGGAGGCATGGAAGACTGGGTACGTGCGCAGATGAGGCGGCACGTCAACCACATACGAAGGACCGAAATCATCCCCAATCACTTTCAGAATCTGCCAAGGGCCGTAGTATAGTGGGAGAAGCTTCCGTGAAACGCCCTCTTCATCAGAAAATTCAGACATTTTGACCCAGACATAATCTCCTACTTTGAATTTCTCTTCTCTGCGCATCTTATTAGCATGTTTGATCATGGCATGCTGGCCCTTGTTCATGGCTGCGGTCACAGCTTTGAGCAAGCGTGCGTACTTGGCATTGTAGCCAGGCATGCGGGGCATCAGACCAGGTGACCGTTCTGGGAACAGGTAGGAGAGGGGATTGCGCATTGACCATCCATACTGCAACTGGTTTGGTGTCACACCGGTTGCAGAATGGATGGAGTTGTTGTACAGCCCCTTTACTTTATGCAAGTCTTTATCCCATGTGTTCTGATCTGGCACAATCAATGCGCGCAGCAGCTGGGTGACAGTCTGGTTGATTTCCTCAGCCAATCCATTGGCTTCGGGGTGTCGACCAGAAGTCATGTTCAGTTTGATGTCATAGATCTGGGCAGTGAAGTCCTTCCAATCCTTGCTGATGAATCTGGTGTCCCGATCGCTCACAAGAGTTTTCGGGGGGCCATACTGCAGAATGTACTGCTGGTGAAACTCTTCGATCACCAGTTCAGTCGGTGCATGAGGAGGTAGAGGAATCAGATTCAGAAATTTAGAGAAGCGATCCACAATGGCCATGACTTGTGAATTCCCTGTCGTACTCACCTTCTGACAGACTTGACACTCAGCAATAAATTTCTGAGCAGATCCCTTCATTCCCGGCCAATCAAACTGCTGGAGAAGACTTCCATAAGTCTTCTCAAAGCCGAAATGCCCACTCCGACCATGTGCCAAATCCAAGAAATGAGTCTGGAGAGGCGCATGGTTAGGAACACACAAGCGATCAAATTTCCCGTACCGGCGGAATACAAGACCATCGCATTCATGAAAATCAGGCTGGCTGTTGGGGTCAGCCTTGAGTTGCTCAAGGATGGGACTAAGGTCCGGATCCTTGGCGGTGTGTTCGATCAGATCCTCCTTCAGTTTCCTGCAGAGGTCGTACGAATCCACTAGGCAAGTCAAATACTCAGGATGGCGCGATAGAGCATCAGCAACACGATTATAGCAACCTTTCTTATGCTTCAATTCAAAGTCGAAGACATCAATATCATGCAACCAGCGGGTCAGCGTTGGAGAAAGATCGGTTTGTGTCTTAATCCACTGCAAGGTCTGATGATCTGAGTAGACCTTGAAGTGGCGACCCAAGAGATAGTGCTTTCAATGCATGACCGCCTCGCGCAAGGCGTAGAGCTCCCGCATGTATGTGGAAGTGGCTACCTTGTGGCTGGGCATGCGTTTGCTGTAATATTCAAGCGGACGCAGGCCATCACCATCATCTTGTTGCAGCACTGCACCAATCCCAAACTGGCTCGCGTCCCTAGTGACTACGAACGTGAGGTTGGGATCCCCAATGCGGAGCACAGGATGACTCACCAAAGCCTCTTTCAAGGCTTGGAACGCAGTCTCACACTTTTCACACCACGCGTAGGCAACATTTTTACTAGTCAGGCGTGAGAGTGGATGAGCAATGACAGAGAATTTAGGCACAAACTTTCGGTAGTAAGAAGCCAAACCGAGAACAGAACGCAGCTCGCGTACATTTGCCGGTTGAGGCCAGTTGCGGATGACCTCAACCTTGGTTGTGAAACGGTTTTCACCTTTTAGCAGTGGCAGATGCAGTACCCAGGGTTCGATCCCTAGACCTCACCCTACCCATGTACAGTATCTGTGTAGACCCCGAAAATTGAACCTGTGCCCTGTGTATCCGTAGGCAGTTGGTAGGCCTATCGTAGGTCCATAGGCAGCAGGGGTTCGATCTGTAGGTCTATAGCGTAGGTGTCTTAGTGAGTTCCGGAAGCTTAGCTGTAGACCTTCTAGAAGGTAGGCAAG